TTTATTGTTAATGCAAAAAAATTATAAGTTTTATATTGAGTGAAAAAGTGTGCAGATACTTTTGTCCACCCTCTGTATATATGAAAAATTAAAAATCAAATTTTGAGTCAATAGGGTTCATTTTTTCATACTATTTATATAATTTATTAGTAAATAATAAATTTTATTATGATAATTATTTGATTATCAGTTGATTTATTTTATAATTAACTAAGAAGATTTCTTACGCATATGACTTTTTTCTTAATCAAACCACGTTATTTTATTTATACATAAGGTATAGATAAATTTTTTCAGTATATATTTATCAGAAAAATAATTTCAGAGCCTGTTCATTTATTATTTAAGATTTCTAAAGACTTTACTAGTATCTCAAAATGCAATAATTTTTAGCAAAACTTTACTAAGGTTAATATAACTTATTTCTGATACTGCATTGCATATTTTATTGATAATTAGGACAAATTAAACTGGATTTTACAATGTTAAAGATCTTATACAAATTAGGTTACATCCTATTTAAAATAATAATAGATTATATTAAATGAAAAAATAATATAAAAATCCTTAGGTTTATATCATAAAATATATTAACTAATAAATGAGATACTTTTTAAATTAAATTAATCTTATTATTAAGTCTGAATTCATATTTATATCACATCAGAATTTGAAACTTTTATATACAACTCAAATAAATTTTTGCATGATTATTCACTAAAAATTGTAAAATATAGATCCATTTTTACGAAAATATTTTTTATAATTAAAAATTTAAAGAAAATGAATGCAACGTGTGAATCAAAAAAAATTTTTTCCCCTTTAGTTAATATCATTCATATATAGTAATAGATTTGTAATTTATGTAACAATTCCCTATATAACTATGTTACAACATTTAGTAAGTAAATTTACATTAAAATTATGAGTTTAAGTAATTAATAAACAAAAATTAACTCACTAATTGCATATATTATTAAGAAAAAAAATGTTAAAATTCTCAATTAAATTAGTTTTTAATTGATTAAATAAATCTATCAATGACTTAATACTTTCTGCATATAATATATTCTATAATAATCTATAACTTTATACATTACCATAAAGAAATTTTCATTATACTTTGAGAATCACTATAAGATAAAAAGTTTATTTTTATCCTATTTTAAAAGATATCCTTTATATACAACTTCATAAGCATTCTACTCAATAAGCTATTATCTTAAATAAAATTTTTTAAATTTTTTCTTTGGTATATAACGCTTATTCACTAACATTTATCATAAAGAAAATAAATATAAATTAACACCTTTATAACTATTTATAAACAAACTTTAAGTTAATACTCTTCAATTTTAAATCCTAGTAAGCAAAATTATTATCTGTATTTACAGGTCTAAGATTTTCTTTCTTCATCTAACCAACAATTAATATTGTTATTTTTATAACTGTTAAATTATTCTACTATTGCATATAAAGATTAAATGCCTATATTAGATAGTTTACTTTTAATCTTTATTTAATAATACTTTTATTACTATTTCCTTCTCCTTTCCTTCTTTCTTCACTTCCTTTATTATGCAAAAAAATTATGAAATTTCAAATGCAAAAAAGAAGAAAAACTTAAAAGACAATAATAATATCTCTAACACAAATTTATTAGAAGTAGTATCAACTTTAAGAAATCTAGCTTATAAATTATACTGGAATAAGTAAGTTATGAAATAGTTATAAAAGTTGTAGTCTCCTATAAAGACTGATTATGTTGATTCACATATAATATCAAATAATTTCTTAAATTCAATGGTACAAGACTCTTAGTTCTTTTACAAGATAACTTCTTTAAATATGAAACTAAACTCTTTTAAGATAACTTTACTATTCAAAAAAAACAATTAACAAAGTTTGTTCAAAATTTATTTATTTATCTTTTATTTATATAATAATAATAGCTAACTTATACAATATGTAGATATTGATAAGAATAAAAATAACAGTAACAGAAAATGCAAGAAGCTGTTAAAGTTAACTCACTACTTAAAATATCAAAAAAGGACTGATCTAACTTAATCTCTAAAAGTTAAAATGTATCCAAATTTCTCACAGAAAACTTTATTAAAATAATAAATAGGTTGTGCTAAGTATTTTGTCTTCATTATTATTTCTTTTAAAAATATTGTAATTTTTAACTTTATATATTATTTATAGGCTTATTTATAATATGATAGTTACAAATTTCAACCATAATCATTTATTAACTCATTAATTTTAGTTTTGATCTCTTTTTAAACTTAAAATTTTACATACTTTTTAATGAAGTTTTATGAAGAACTGTCTATATAAGATGCTTGACTATGCTATTATATATGTAATTCAATAGTAGGGCAAATTTGGGAGTCCTGAGGTCAAAATCGAAAAAGGATATTCAGTAAGCTCTCAATCATAGACCAGAAGTCCTTCTAGCATTACGAATCTATAATATAGAATTCAGATTTAAAATCTTCACTGGCGTTCAATTTCGTTAACAATCTTCTTGCTATAAAATTTGAGCTTCGGAAGCTAAAATCAACCAAATTGATATATCCTTTCTAGCGCAATTTTAAACCTACTAAAGATATCAAAAAAAATATACCATTCTATTTGCCTTTGAGATAACGTGAGATTGGCAAGAACCAAAGGTTCGAAGTCAAGCTCGTAGAGTCTTTGCAAACCTTCTATGTATACTAATATTTATGCTATACTGCTTACCTTTGGGAATAGACTCGAATAATGAGGAACAAAGTGATGAAATATACAAGGCTATGACCTTGATAAGTCTAAGATGCATACTAATTTTTGAGATATCCTAGAATTAATTCTAAAACTGATTCTTTGTTGTAATCAAAGGGTTAAATTTTAGTACCATGACCAAAGGGAGGGTACCAAAATTTTGTATGGGGTACCAAAATTTACGGGTAGGATACCAAAATGTTGAA